CCCCCCCCAAAAAAAAAAAAAAACTTGCTCAACTGCCTCCAGGAAGCTTTGGTTGTTACTCCAACCATTCTCCAAAAGTTATTGAACCAAGCTTTGATGCACAGTGACTGTGCCAAAACATCCTCATATGCCAACATGTGGAGTTTGGATGGAAGCTTGGCTGGAGAATGCTGGATGTTAACTGCAGTCAGTTGAGCAAGTTTTTTCTTGCAATGCATGGAACAAGATATTGCTTTATTTGATTTTATTTAGTTTGACATATCTTTTCTCACTGTGTTGGGGCCTCATGTAGATGTGGAGTTATATAGAAGACATAGAAATGAAATAAGTATGTATGAATTTCTTCATTTCATACTTCCAAGCTTGTGTATTTTTGTTTAGAAAAAAAAAGTAACAGGGAAACAACACTAGAAGCAGACTGGAGTAAGTAGAAACAACAGAAGTCATATCTGACATAAATCAATGAGAAAAGAAAAGTTAAGATTAGGGGTTGGTCTGAGCCAACATTATGAGATGTGACAAGTATTTTTTGAAGGCAGTGAGATTTCTGAATTCATCAACAGTGACATGGTGATCAAGCAGCGACGAATGTGATACACCCAAAGTGCCCTTCAAAGACGGCGGCAGGAGTCTACTAGTTGAACGCCGCCACAGTGCGGAATTCTTCTACAATAATAAGTGCCCCGTTGAGTCACAGAGGGGGGGGTTGGTGAGCAATAGCGTATCCTTGGTTGTGTCTTTCTCTTGAGGAATAGGTGACAGAGAAAAAAAAAATGGATCGAATCAGCAATCAAGGTTCCACGCGTTAATTGGCTAGAATGATCTGCGTTAAGCAAGCAAGAAATGTGTAGAGACAACATGCAGGAAAACCAGCGAGGGGCACAATAAGCTTCGGAAAGAGCTGGAGCTAGATGAGCACTATTGAAGGCGAACAAGAGTAGCTGGAGCCGAGCTTAGAACGAGTAGGCAGTCTATGTAGTTGAATTCAGAGGATCTTCAGTAAGTGATCTCGAGAGCCACGAGTGCGGCAACCCCAAACGACATCTCATCTTGCTTGTAATCGGCTGGACTCCCACTTGTTTTCTTTCATCCTCTCTCAGATTTCCGGCTCCGATGCACTCTCGAAATGCGTGGCAGACACAACACACACACACACACAAGAGAGAGAGGAGATAACAAAAAGCGGCGCAACGGACGGGCCCGCGTAAATCTGATCAGTAGTCGGAGTCGGGACCGAGACGAAGAACCCTCTCTCTCTCCCTCTCTCACTCTCTCACTTGAGATAAGGTGACTGGACATGCAAGGCGAACATTGAAACACGACGAACAAAACCCACCCACACACACAAAAAGAGAGAGAAATCATACACATTGTACAATCACACCAAAAAAAAAAGAAAAGTAAATAAATTATGATAATACAAGCGATAAACACACAATAAAGGGCAGAGTAAGAAAGAGGGGAAAGAGAAGAGAGGATGGGATGGGAGACAAGAAAGCGAGTCAAAGAGACGCTAATGAGCGGGTTGAGAAGCGGGACTATCCGTCTTCTGGTCTTCACCATCAACATCAACATCATCTTCAGAGCACGAGGGCAGGATAGTAGTCCCAGAGGAGGGTGCCTTGTCAGCAGAGGAGGAGGAGGAGGCGGAGCCCGATGCCATAGATGCCTTGAGGCGAGCGGCGGTAGCATCGATGAGCTGGTGATCGGGCACCTGAAACTAGCCATGCCCGCCCCATAACGAAAAAAAAAATCAGCAAAGAGAAGAGAGAAAAGAGAAGGAGATAGACATACGCCCTCGGCGGCCATATCCTTGAAGATAGCCGAGTCGACCCCGGACTTCATCAGCGCCAACATCTTTGC